TCTGGTGGTTTATTGGAGATAAGAGTCTCACAGACTTTCCTGCCCAGGCTGGCTTTGAACCGTGATCCTCAGATCTCAGCCTCCTGAGTAGCTAAGATTTACAGGCGTGGGCCACCGGCGCCTGGCAGAACGTCACCTTTCTTAGCTCAGCTCTAAGCCTGACCTCCATGAAGTTCCTCCAGCAGAACAAACTCATCGCTCTCGGGGGCCTTTGCATTCGCTGTTCCCTCTACCTGGACCACTCTTCCCCATCTCCCATGACTCCTCCCTCCCTCCCTCCATCTCCTTCTCTGCTCAAATGCCACCTTGAAAAAGCCTGCTGACACCCTTAGCCATACCCGCTTTATTTATATTTGCTTTTTTCATACTGTTTTCCCTCTTTCATATATGTGTTGTATAATATATAAGGCAAATGTGTTGGAGGGATAGCCTAGCACCTTCGCTGGATGTATGTTCTGCCCTGAATGCCGCAGTAACCCCCAGTATCCACAACATGCACTTGGTGCTCAATATGTGTATTTGTTGAGATACTGAGTGACTGTACAGACTTCAGAACCCCTGTGGTGGGTGGTCTGCAAACCTGACAGCAAACGGACTAATTCTAGGCTAAACAACCCTGGCCCAGGAGAGCAAAGCATGGGACTAAGCCCCTAGGCCTGGTTGCGTAGGCTCCAGAGTGAGTCTTTCTGTATCTTTTCTCCTTCTGCTGCCCTCTTTACTCCCCCAGCAAACCTGCCTACCTTCCCCACGCATCCTGACAATGTCAGGCTTTCTTGCTCTCAGATGCATTCTTGAATGAAGGCCAGGAACGTGAGCTTGGCTGGTCAGGGCAGGAATGAGAACTGGCTAAGGTGCAGAATAAGGAGATGAGCTAGCACCTCTCCTCCCTCCCAGTGCCAAATCAAGGTAGCAGGTAGCTCAGCTAGGGGCCCGGTTCCAGGAGCCATCTGAGGGAGGAGGCAGGGCCGTGTACAGGCTGCACAGACAGGCAGGCAGGCACACTCGACATGCCCAGACAGACTGGAGCTGGAGGAAGGAACCCTTGCAACATCGACCACATCAAAGGGAAAGCTGAGAGGCAAGCACAGACAATTTCCCTCGGCTTCTCCCCGGAAAAGATGGCCTCCAAGATTCTGATTTCAAGATGTCATCCGTCAGCAGGAGGGCAGTGGAGTCCAACCTGCCAACTCTACCCTCCCCAGCCCTCACCTCCCACAGCTGCAGTTGCCTGGGGCAAAGTCCCGCTGCAGGTATGGGCTTCTGTGGTCTTGATACCTGGGGAAAACCCTGCTCCCTGGGGGTTGGGAGATGGGTGAGGGGAGAGGGCTCGTCCTGCAACTGAGAGGCGGTTCCACGGCTCAGCTAGGGACCAGAACCAACTAAGCACACCCCAGAGGCGCTGCTGGGGTTTGCTGAGTAACGGGAGGGCCTACCTGAGTCCCGACGCCCATTCCCATAAGCCACGCAGAAGCCAAAGGTGCCCTCACGGGGGCGCTGCAGCTGCAACTGATTTGTGCCATCTGGAAACACCTCTGCCACCCGGCCCACGGCGCGAACCAGGCTGGGGGCGCCCACATCCTCCACGCTGAGCGTGCGCCGGGGAGGGCCCTTGGCTGACCTGTGACAGAACCAGAGAGAGAGACAGTGAGGATGAGACAGCACTCCCCCCACCAAGAGTAGTACGCTCTCAATTTTTAGGTAGAGACTAGTAAGAGCTGAGGGAAACTGTAATGTCTTACAGCATTTCCACGAGGGAAGGGACGTTCTGAAATGCATCCTTAGAGAAAAGTAGCTAAGAGCACCTCTGCAAAGAGCTAAGGGCTCAAGGGACGATTGTGGGGAGATCTTAGGTCTTAATGTTGATTTCAAGATGTCCTCAGCCATCCAAAGGAGAGGACAGCAAGCCTGCCAGCTCTTCCCTCTCTGGCAGCCTCACGCCTTCTCAGTGCTCACCTGCACAGGTAAGGGCAGCTCCTGTGCCATCTGTCTGTCCATACATGGGATTTACTGACAGAGAGGCCCAGGTAGCCTGCCTCACTTTCTCTTAAAGGGACTTGTTCAGGGCCATGATGGTGTAGTTGGCGTTATAGCTCTACTACTATTCTGAGTTTATTCTTTATGCAATTTGTGCCAACACTTGCCTGCCAGGTGTGTTGGGGTCCCCGGGTTCCTCTACCAGGTAGACATTGGACCGGTCTCCCTTGCTGCCCAGCAGAGAATGGAGGTTCTGCAAAGAGACAGTTTTCTGATGTTTATGGGAGGGTGACACCTGGTGGTCAAGGCTCAGTATTGCAGGTGATAAAAGCCCCTTGGGAAGGGGTTGACAGGGAACTTATCCCAACCATGAACCTGAGGGTCCTCTAAGAAGTCAAAGGCGCAAGCTTTAGTCATCAAATCAGAGTGCTTGGCAGGGCTTACTACACGGGCCATCGAAAGTATCAGGCACTGGGGGTCTCACTTCCTGTAGTCTATTACTGAACGACACTTTCAGCCCCATTGTTCACTTTATTTTTAGGGTAGTGTCTCTCTCTCCCGGCCTGTGTAGGCTTCCTGTTGTTGCTGGAATCATAGGCATACCGTGGTGTCTACTTTCCCTTCCACTGGAGATGGCATTTTCTGCCAGCACTGGCCTAGAACTGAGATTCTCCATATCTCAGGCTCCCATGTAGTTAGGGTTACAAGCACAAACCACCAACTCCTCACTCTTAGCCTTTCTTGGGCTGGTGGCTTTCTGTCTGTTTACTTAGATTAAACTGCCCATAAGCTTCTGTGTGACACGAACAGTGTCACTTTCCTTGGTGTGTTCACGGTGAATGCATTTGAAGCTCTGATGGCAAAAAACCAAGGTGCCACAGCTCAGACAATAGACAAATCTAAGTCCATGAGAAGATTGGCTCTCAGGGTGGTCTGAGTAAAGGCCTTTCTTCCTAGCTTGCCGTCTGCAGCTGCTTCTTCACCTTCCACTCACTGGCTGTCAGCTATTTATTGAACACCAGCCACAGGGTGGGTACTATTCTTGGTAAAGGCAGGCACTGACTTTCACTGGGCCTGCATTCTACTCCCTCTGTAGCCTGAGAAATAAACAGCTCCTATACCCCAGGCCACAGTCACCTACCTCATTCTGCCCAGAGCAGGGGCCAAGGACAGAAGAAACACAGGACTTGGAAACTGTTGGAACAGAACAAGGTTTCCAGAGGCCTGGTTGAGTTGGTTGGTTGGCTTGCTAGGACTGGCATGGAGAGGGGGAGGGGAGAGGAAGAACTTTAGCTCCCAGCATTCACTTACTCACTCAGTGTGTACTGAGTGCACCTTGTACTGAATGTAGCTACTGTTAGAGCTGTTGGGAGTCTAACAATCTCATTCCAGTGAGGGAAGAGAGATGAAGCACAGGGTGAGACCGCACCACATAGCAGAGGTCGGAGGGTGGAGAGGTGGGAGACACATTCAGGGCAAGATCCACTCTGGCAGTGAGATCTGATTGTATAACGTCACGGAAGTCTACCATAACTGGGGGTGAGAGTAATAGAGAGGGATGAGAAAGGAAAGCAGATAGATCACAGAACCCTGGCAAACTAAGCAGTCTCAACTTGATTCTGAATGTACTAAATGACCAAGGACTGCCATCTAGCCAGGATTCAGCCAGATTTACAGATCAGAAAGAAAACTGCAGCAAGGACGCCAGCCAAATGTCACTAAAGTAATCTAGGTATAAAGTGATTTGTGTCTTGACTAAAAGAGTCACTATGACCATAGAGAGTGAGTGTGCTATGCATTCTCCAGGACTTGGCTGAGGTGGCAAAGTTGAGAGAGAGGGGGGAGGGGGGAGGGGGGATGAGCCCAGGCCCCCGGTCCTGGCTGCGGGAGCCTGTCTCGTGGGTCAACTGTGGTCAGTACTGCCTCTCTTGTCACCCTTTCTCCAATGGGCTACACCATTGCTGGCATCATGACCCCTAGCCTGGGGCCCCAAGGACTCACCAGATGCAGGGATTGTAATGACGGGACTCTCTTCACTTTAGGGGTGCTGGTGTGTGAAGCTGGGCCTGGCGCCATGGGCTGCAGCTGCTCCATACTGTAGCTACGAGATTTGCCCATCTTGGGCTGCGAAGTATGACCCAAGGCTGAGAAAAGTTTTTTCAGCCCCAGGGCAGAGACAATGCTGTTGCTTCTTTTCTTTTTCCCGTCAGAAGGGGCAGCTGAGGGTGGCCTGGGCTCTGCTCTGGCCCCTGGTGGTGCTCTGTAACACAAGAATGGTTGTGAGGTGGCAGGAGACTGCCAGGAGGGAGGCAAGAGAAGACTGCATCCAGGGGGGCCCCAGAGGAGCCAGTGCCAATGCCCCTGGAGCAGAGGGGAGGCGAGAGATGTGGGCTTCGCCAGGTGCTCTCTTCTAGGGAGCCTAACTCAGGCAAGTCCCTTCCATAGACAGCCAGGAGGCCCCTCATTCACTCCGTCACTCAGTATTTCTCAAGAGCCTGCTGTACGTGGTGTCAAGGACAAACAAGGTTCTTGTTCTCAGCAGCTTATCAACAACACAGAGGAAAACCATCAGTGACTGGCATGTGGGGTGAAGCAGAGAATGACCAGGCATTTGTTGTAAATAATGACCAAGGGAGACCATCTTTTAACTGAGAGCCTAGTGACAAGCCGGAGCCAGGCTGGGAACCTGCAGATGCAGGGTGCAGTCGATAATGCCTTGGCTAGAGCAGGAGGAGGCTGGGCCTGGTTCACAGGAGGAAGAGGGACAGAGGCACAAGATGAGACCAGACAGGCAGGTAGAGGTGGGCCGACTGAACGGAGTGCAGTCAACCACAGTACAAGGGCTTTAAATTCTACTCCGAGTGGAAAACTCATTGCAGGGGTTTATGCAGGAGAATGACATTATTTGGGTAAAGGTGACACCATTTACTACTGAGCACCAAGAATGAAGACGGGGGGCAGCAGGAGAGTATAGATGGGGGGTGATGACAGCAAATGAGAGCAGATGCTGGAGAGGATTTCCAGTGGGCTAGAGTGGGAGGGAGCAGAGGAAGCAGGTCTAGGGCCTGAGTACTGAGCGAACAGCAGCACTTTGGCTTTTGCTGGGAAGGAGACATGGGAGAAGCAGCTCTATAGCTTGTGCAGTTGATTCCAAGGGGAGATGTCCAGACAAACCTGGAGCTCTAGTGAGCACACAGGGCTGGAGGCCGTGGTATATGGCTGGAGCGGGAAGGCCCCAGCCAGAGCACTGGGCTCACTGAGGCTGAGGTCAGCTGAAGGAGTTCCACAGGGCAAAGCCTCAGATCCCCCCCACCCTCCCACCCTCACAGAGTCTCTCCAGGAATGCAACAGAGAAGAGAAACAGTCTTCTTGGGGTGATGGTTGTCTATTTGCAGGCTCAAAGTCAGGAGCAGGTCCTCCCAGTAGGAAATCTCCCTGGAGCACCCTGGGTGCTGGGACCAGTGGCTGAGGCTTCAGTGACTGAATAACCAGACACATCAGATGCAAAGCACTAGGAAAGGGGTATCGGGGTACCAGGGCATTGTGTAGTAGCTCTAGGAGGAGGGTCCAGGGGACCTTTCCCCACCAGAGCCCTCTACTGTGGTCTGAGCTCTGCTGTCACTCACCCAGGTGGCACATGTCCTCCAGAACTGGGCTCCATCCTCTGTAGAACTCCTTCCAGTTCCTGACTAGACTCAGGCTCCTCTGGGGCTAGGGAGAGGGTGATGCCCGTGGAGTTGACGGTGGCAACATCTGCTGAGCCTGGGGAGCCCCGGAGTCCTCCTGCAACAGCCACAGCATCCCTCCTGTGTCAGACTGACCATCTGCACAGGCCATGGTGGGGGAAAGGGACACTCAGACCCAGAAGCAGGAGAGTACGGGAATCTAGAGCAGGTGAGAGCCCCAAGAAGCAGTGGATGATGGTGGGCGGCTCTTAAATGATCAAGGCTAAGGGCCCAGCCCTGACTGTCCTGCCCTCTACACTGAAAACCAATGACAGAGATCGGCTCTTGTGGGCTGCAGGAACCCCATCACCCAGCACTACACAGTGGACTGGTAAGTCCTTAGGTTGATGGTATTGCTTGCAATATAAATCAAGCCCACCAGTATTAAGGGACAATCAGGAACAGAAGAAAATGTTGTGAGCCTGGACGAGGAAGCCAATATAGATTCTTCAGAGCTTTAACAACAGCCATGGCTTTGGGAGCACTTGTGTTATATGCTAGATGATGAGCGAAAGCCCCTGCAGAGATGGCCTGCTGCATTTGTGTGGGACGGGTGCCGTGAGGCTCCTTGCTTAGACAGGAAGACAGGGACTGCGGAGGGAGGCAGCGACTCACCCAGGCCTCACAGCTGAGGAGAGGAGTCCTACCTCTGTCCCAGGCCTCAACTGCCCATAATCACCTGGTGTCAGGATAGAAGCCCTCGGTAGGAAGTGCTTCAGGGCAAGCCCGCCCTCAGGCCCACTCAGGAATCATAGTTGAGCTTGGAGCAGGAGGAGACCTCAGAAGCGGCCCTGCCTGCCCACGGCTTATGTGACCATACAGTGTGAATGGGGCGGGGGGGGGGAGGGGAGGGCTGATCCACATCCTTGCCAAGTCATTATGAGCTATCATTTCTCTGTCTTCTCCCCCCCCCCCACAGTTCCCCAGCCCAAACCTCAGCCCCAGGCAGTCAGAACCATGGCCCGTTAAGCAAGAATATGTGTGTGGTGGGACAGCTATCTCTGTCTCCCAAGGTCACCTGCGCTCACAGCAGTGGAAATCAGAGTCTGGATCTGCCAGTCCCTAGAATCTGCCCACAATCCACGGACCCTTTCCAAGGGAAAGAGCTTAGAAACATTTCACCCCATCAGCAGCTCTGTTTGCTGGAACCTTCCAGCAGCTAGCAAAGAGGGGATTCTGGGAGGGCCACAGAGGCCACAGAGCAGCTCCTGCCTTTAGAAGCTCTGCCTCTTTGCTCTCGGTTTAGCTACCAGAAAGTCTCAAGGGCAAAGTTGCTACTAAAGTAATTCACTTATGCCATTCCCCACAGAACCAGATAGAGAGCCAGGCATGAACCCAAGTGCTCAGTCAATACTGAGAGAGTACGTGCATGGCACAAGCCGAAGCTGTCGGCGGGGGAGGGCGCTAGCCATGTGATGATTGGACACTTACAGCGGATCCTGGAGTTGCTGCCTCTCCTGGTTTATAGGTGTCAAGTTCCCATAAAACCAGTCCTCTAGCAGCCAGTGAAGCTGGCATTTCCCTACACAGTTCAGTAGGAGGGTATCCAGCTCTCCCTACAGCCCTGCTTGCTCCAGCGGGGAATCAGCTAATCTGCACAGGCAGGCTGATGCTGCATCCTGTTTCCAGACCAGCCTCCCCTGGCTCCCTGACACTTGTCAGTGGTCCGAGGGTTCCTAGAGGCTGCTGGAAATGGTGTGTGGCTGTGGGCAAGGGCCAGCGGCAATCCTTACCGTTAACACTGCTCTCCAGGGGCAGCTCTGGATCCGGGCTGCAGGGGCTCCTCTCCACCCTGCTTTTATGGACGGCTGTTCTCTGGGGCTCCTGCAGCCCCGGCGGAAGGTGGTTGTTGGTAGATGGGCCCGGCTGTGGGTTCCTGACCTGAGGTCCGCAGGCCTGAGCCACAGTTCTTGGAGGAGACTGAGGCAGGGTGAGATCCACAGGTTGGGCTTGGCCCCCTGGCCTGCGGGGTCCGGCCAGGGCTGACTTCCTGTGAGGCACAGGAGGAGGGGAGAGGGAAGCAGACAGCTGCTGGGCAGGCTGTGGGGCAGAGGGCTCTGTCGGGCTGTGTGGCAGGGAAGAAGCACAGGCAATCTCCAGAGGTTTGTGGCTGTCTATAACTTGGTCTGGCCTGCCCGGCCCTGAGAGCCCAATGTTCGTGGCAAGTGATCTTGTGGCACAGGCTGTCTTGCATGGAGTACAGTCCGCAGCGTGAGTTCGGTGACTTCCAAGCTCCAGTTTAGGAGGCCTCTGGGACCCTGGGGGGGCCCTCTGAGGTTCCAGGACAGGGGGCTTAGGAACAGCATCTTCTCTCCGAAACTCAGTCCCCTTGGGAGAGTGAGCTCTGTCCCCTTTCAGCTCATCTCCCCTCTCCACATCAGCAACCCCAGGCAGGTGAGGCTGGGCCTGAAGGGTCCAGGGCTGCTCCATCTTCACCCTCCTGGACCACCGGTGACCTCCGTGAGGCCGCTGCCCAGGGCTGTTCCCTCGGGTCAGCACACCTGTCCTGCTGGGCTGAGAGGTCCCCACCTCCTTGCTGTGCAGGGCAGCATCTGCGTCCTCAGGGCAGGTGGCAGTGTCCCCAATGTGTGTTTCCCGGATCCGTTCTGTGTGGAGCCCCGGCTGGGCAGGGAGGAATGGGAATGGGGAGTTCAGGCCATGGGAATTATGGGGCTCTGGCAGTAGCCCCTCCACCCCATCAGCAACCTGGAACCCCTGGGGTTTCCTCCAGTTGGAGGTCGCCTTCTCCTCAGCCGGGTGACCCTCCTGAAGACAGCTGCCACAGGCCGGGCACTTTCTATCACTGTCCCATGCGGGCGGTGGCACTGAGTGGCCACTGACATCCAGGCGGCCCTCACTCAAGTCCCGGCGGATGTAGTGGGTGAGGTCAGGCTTGGAGTGCAGGGGTCCCTGGCCCACCTTCCGCAGCACCGTGCTCAGCACCCGCCGCTGGCGCTGCTGCAGCCGCTCCAGATAGCGGACCTCGGCTTCACCGGCAGACTCGTCCTCAAATCGGACATGCGACACGAGGCTGTCCGGCTTGGGCCCCTGTCCGCTGGAGGCCCCGCTGGAGCAGTCACTCACGGTCCCATTCTGGAGGCTGTCACTACAGGTCATCCTGGGGTCCTGGGCCGGGTTTCTTGGCTCATCTCTGAAGAAGAGACAGGAGAGACATGCAGAAGGATGAGGAGCAGGTGAGCCCTCTCCCGAGACCCACCCTGCCCTGTCCTCCCCATTCTGGGACCCGCTCTCTCAGGGTGTTCTGTGGCAGCCTCAGCCCACAGTCAGGCCCTTGGGGAGTCAAGTGGTAAAGCCGACCCCAATCCTCAGACTCAGCGAAACAAACACGATCTACAGTGTGGACTTCCCTGTGCTACCCGGCTCAGCCTGCTATGATCAAACACTGCTAAATTCAGGAGTGGACAGAAGGAAGACACCAAAGACCTTACATTATAAGGGGTATTTGCTGTGCTGCATGTTGTGTGCAAATGATATGAGTGATATGTGCATGTGTGCTGTCTATTCATTGTGTAGGGTGCATATGTGGTATCTGATGTGGGAGATATGTGATTTATGTGTATATTGCGTGTATTATGTGTGTGATGTGTGGGGGAGGGTGTATGCTGTTGTGTGTGGTATATGATGTGTGCTGTGTGTGTTGTGTGTAGTGTGTGTAGCATGTGTGGTATGTGGGGTGTTAGAAGTGATCAGAACATTATACATTTCTGGACATAAGTATAATCAGCTCTCTCCGTGGATACCACATCTGTGGATTCAACCAACAGTGTAGTGAAAATATCTGAGAAAGAAACTGCATCTGTACTGACCATGTAGGCTTCATTCTTGCTATTCTTCCCTAAACAGCACCATACAGTAACTACTACATGGCGTTTACGTGGTATCAGGTAGTTCAACCACACTTGTGGTGATTTAACTCATACAGGAAGATGTGCACAGTTCATATGTGAATACTACACCCTGATTGGGGTTTGAGCATTCATGGATCTTGGTGTCTCCACTGGGCTGTGTGAGCCTTGAAGTCAGGGTTTCTGGGTATTCTTGACCTACAGTTTCCATCCAGAATTCCTAATTACCTTACTTGGACAGAATTCAGACTGAAGGACCCTTGGCAGTCACCTTTGGACTTGGAGAGAGAGGGAAAGAGAGAGAGAGAGAGAGAGAGAGAGAGAGAGGCCATATGAGAGAATAATCCCATTATATACCCCAGTCTGTCTTCAAAACTTGGAATCTTCTGTCTTTGCCTCTTAAGTGCTGAGATTATAGGCATATACAACCATGCCTAGCTTTGAACTCTGAGTCCTAACTGGTCCAACCTCCACCACCATCACCCTTAATCCATATACAACCTAACACACATTCTCATCCTGCCTCTGGCTATAATGGCATTGTTGTGCTGGGAAACTTCACATCCACCATTAGCTTTGGCTCAGGGACATACAAGTCCTCCTTGGCTCCAGAAGCCCCCTCCGACTCACAAACCATAGAGCAGGACCATACTTCTCCACTCCTTTTCTTCCCGCAACCTCTCCACCAATCTACGAGGAAATGTTTGGGATTCACGTTTCCCTCATTTATCTACCTGCCTCCAGTCTGTGGGTTCTCCTGGGACCCAGCTAGAGGGCACAGTATTGCAGTGATGGGTTTTGAGGTGAAAAACAGGCCCTGCACATGCCTCTCAGCTGTTTTTCCTTACCCGACATGCACGCACTCATAGGCCTCCAGGCTTCTGACCCCACCCATCCCCTTTATGGTAGCCCTTGGGTCACCATTTCCTGAAATCTTCCTTTATAACCTGCCTGCCTTTAATACCTCTTTATTAAAACGTACCTACCATGTATGGATAATTTTATGTATCAACTTGGTCAGGCTATACTACCCACGCAAGTGAAATGTTATTCAGGATGTTTCTGTACAGGTGTTATTTCTAGACAGGAATTAACATTATTTAAGTGGGTGGAGTCTGAATAAAGCAGACTACGCTCCATAATGTAGTAGCTCCATAATGTAGTAATCCTCATCCTATCAGTTGAAGGCCTTAGGAGAAGGAAGACTGACATCATTGAGCAGAATGGAATTCTGCCAGCAGATGTGTTTGGACTTGAACTTTTCCTTGAGCCTTCTGACTTACACTGCAGGGTTTGGATGTGCCACATCCCAAGTGTGTGAGCCAATTTCTTAAAATAAAACTCTACACGTCCTGTTGACTGTGTGTGGGTTTTGTGTGTTGGTTTCCCTGGACACCCTAACTATGCCTTACAACCATGCCTCCCTCCTCTGAACACCTGCACCGTGCAGCTGCCATCATAGACTCAGAAGATGTTAGGGCTAAGGGGCCACTAGGAAGTAGTCACTATGACCCCTACTGAGAAGAGGCACTCTTCAAGCAGAAGCTTAGGACACTGTCACCAGCCAGGATCAACCAACAACAGCCCAATGGAAGTTCTGTACATGACTCAGAAGTCCAGCTGGAGGGTTATGTGATAAGAAAAGAAAAAACAATCTGGTTTTTAGATGGTAACAGAATCCAGGTCCCATGAGCTGCAGCAGTGCCCTTAACAAGATGGTGAATGGAGCCAACCCAGAACCCACTCCAAAGGAGAAATAACATCTTGTTCTAAAAGTAGAAGGGAAGCTAAGCATGTTTGGTGTCTTCAACCCAGTAACTCACACCCCGAGCACCTTCCCCTCCCACCAGCAGTGTTAGCAAGAGTGGAAGAGAGTAGGAGGGACTTTGGCGGCATAGGCAGAGTGTGGGAGGCAGCTAAGCAGCCCACAGCTCCCAGGAGAGGCCTAGCTTCTCAAGCGAGGCCTAGCAGGGGCTCCAGGAGCCGCCCCTGGAGGACAGATTCTTCTCTGAATCAGGACCCTGAAGTTGCGTGGCCTTCACCAGGAGCCTCCTTTCTAAAGCCTCTCTTTGCACAAGGCTGTGATGTGCATGAGCTCTGCCATCGCACACAGCCACTAGCCACACACAACAGTATCGCTTATTGACACTCTCCCAGGCTAATCCTGCTGATAGGCGTTGCCCTGGGGAGATTAGGTGTGCTAATCTGAGTGTGCTTGTGCCCCAGATGGCAAAATCTCACACTTGAAGGAGCTGCTTGGTTCCTAATCTTTATTTGTGATTTGCTTCCAGAAAACATAGCTACCTCTACCTCCACCTCTAGTGCCCCTCCTCTTCCCTCCTCTCTCTCCAAGCTGCTCTTTGGAAGGCATGATACGCCAGGGATGGGGTAGAGGTTCTTGCATTGAGCAGAGAGGCCTCGGGCCTGCATGACATCACCATACTAACTCTGCCTGGCTCTCCAGGGTGATTTGATGGGGCATAACCTTTAGAGGCAGCTGCAGCAAGCCATCTGGTGTGAATTTTTCAGCTATACTCTCGGAGGATTCACTGGGGCTGCCAAGTCATAGTAATTCTTTTCTGGACACAGCAGCTGTTAAAGTGGGTCACCTTGCATTTCTACAGCATTTCTACAGGCAGGAAGAAAGGAACCTATTTTACCATAGTGACTGGGGTAGTGGTGAGCTGCTGGACTGATTTGGAGGAGAGAGGGAGCCTGGGAGGACACTGATACAAAGAAGTCTGTTTTGTAGATGGTCTTTATGTGTGGCTCCTCAGTCAGTCTCATAGCTATGGAAAGTAGGGGCAGGAGAGTTCCTTGGAAGTCTGAGGCTTCTAGCCATGCATGTGAAGCAGAGCAGTCCAGATGCCTCAAGGAAGCCATGCCATTCCAAGCCAGTTCCTTCTGTCCAGAAAGAGGAATAAAAGGAGAATCAAAAGAGAAAATAAAAGGATTTAGAGTCTCCCCAGTCCCCGTCCTAGGGGTTATAGTAACAACTAACATAGGCCTCTGTTCACAATGGAGTCAAGTCAAGGGTTAAATACAAGTCCTTAGCCTTTAATGAGTAGGCTTAGGGCTGGGAGTAGTGGTATATGTCTGTAATCCCAGCCACTTGGCAGAAAGAGGTACACAAATCACAGACTGAGCCCAACCCTGGAAAAGCACAAAATCCTTTCTGAAAAAGCAAACAAACAAACAAACAAAACGAACAACTGAAAATAAAGCTGGGGCCCTGGCTTGAATGGCAGAGTAGTTGCCTACCAGGCACAAGACCCTGGTTCAAAAAAAGGCTCAGGGTCTCCAACAAAAGAGCATATGATCCAGTTTTACTAGGAGTCCCACCTCCAGTGCCATATAGTGATAGAGACAGGCAGATCCAGCATGCTTACTGTGCCTGAGGGCCACAGGCCTTGCTAGCTACAGAGGTATTCCTGTTCAGGCCTGGAAAGATCTGGAATGGTCCATTAGCCTCATCTCAGGCCCAGAAGTGTGACCTGGAGCTGGCTCTGGGTGCTAGAGAACTCGTTAGTGGCTCTTTGAGTGTGCACAGAGGGGGCAGGTGAGGAGGGCAGGGTGTGTGCTCAAGAGCAGTCATGTGACATGCTGGTCTGAGGCTCTTGAACCTGTTCTCTGTCTCTTCATCCCTGATGAAGCCTTGTGGTTCCAGCATCACGCAATTAGGGCAAGACTCAACTCTCCATTTCTGATGTTACTTGTGGAGCCTGACTCCAAGGGCCTGGTGGGTATCTCCAGTGGCTGCTCCAAAGCTCCAAAGCTGGACAAGCTCCAAAGCCTGTCCCTCACTTGGGCATCGTCCTTTGGCCAGGGATCCACTGGACACCCAGAAGCAAGTTGGAACCCTGGGCTCTGTTCTGGATGCCTCTGTTCCTCATGCTTCCCCATAGATAGATAAAGAAATGTTGCGTAACTAGACCTGACAGTACTATAACACTCATGATATGCCTAGTGCTGTTCTAAGTACCTTTCAGGGGCTAGGAAGGTGGCTCAGTGGTAGAGCGCTTGCCTTGCATGCATGAGGCCCTTGGTTCGATTCCTCAGCACCACAGAAGAAAAAGAAAAAAGCCGGAAGTGGCGCTGTGGCTCAAGTGGTAGAGCGCTAGCCTTGAGCTGAAGAGCTGAGGGACAGCACCCAGGCCCAGAGTTCAGGCCCCACGACTGGAGACCCCCCCCCAAAAAGAAAGAAAATAGTACTAAGTACCTTTCATAGGTTATATAAATATCATGAAAACCCTATTATAGTCCACATTCTGTGGATAAGGAAAAGGGGGCACAAAGACTTCTGGAAGGCACACAGCTAATGAGATGGACAGCCTGGCTCAGTCCTTCTTGGCTACTTGGTGGCTAGTTTGTTCCTGGTTTGGGGACTCTCTGAGAAGTCTCCATACCCTCCTTCTTGTACCTCCCACCAGGACATGACAACAACCTCTTCCTACTCCAGTCTCCTGGATTCAATGCAACCAGCAGCCAGAACAGCTCTACTGAAATGCAGATGTGATTATGCAGTCAAGCTGTCTCATGGTAAGTCTTCCCAACTATTACAGGAGACATCTAAGTTGTCCAGCAGGCCTGGAGGCTGCCATGAGCTCCAGCCTCCATCTCATCCTGTGATGCTGCTTCTCTTGGCTTTCATCCCTACAATGCTCACTGCCTCCAGGTGTTCATGAATATGTACATGTTTTTCAAGCCCCAACTGTGAAGCCACCTCCTTTTGGGAGCTCTACCTGTCCTTTCCAGGCAGAGGTATAGCTTTCCAGGCAGGGTCTTTTCCTCCTACAACACAGCCTACAGAACCGAATATTTATCTTCCTAGAGACTATGATGTCTATGCCCCCAAGGAACTCAGATCATGTTTCCTCTTTGTATCTCAATTCCCAACACCTAATGGTTCCCTCTGGAAAGGGGTGTTGACTGATTAAATGATCACAGCACAAGTGCTTGACATAGAAAACATATAGACACAGAAGGAAGGAGGGAATAGAGGCATTTGGGTTAGGTTTCACCTATTTCCTGCTACTGACCCTTCCCTTCCCTGGCCCTCCCAGGCCTTTCTGGCTCAGGCCCCACTCACCGGATGCCCTGAGCAATGGTGGGCACAATATCATGGCTGGCACGGAGGGGCCGGGTCCTGGCCTTCATGCGGGCGTGCTGCAGCAGATGCTTGGCTTCCTCATGCTTGGCACTCAGCATGGGCTCCGGCTTGGAACCAAAGGTCCTGCAGGGTGGCACACAGGCCAGGGAGGGAGGGGAAAGGATTAGAAGAAAATAACATGGATTAGAAGGCTTTAACAGGGTAAGGCACGGGCTACGCCAGGAAAAGCCCTGCGTGTGCAGCCTTCCCCCTCCGCCTCCTCCTCCAGAGGGTCCCTGAATGGGGCTTGGGGCCTGGAGAATGATCCTGATAGGGGCCAGGGAAGTTTGGTCCTGCTTGAGGGACTAGAGGGAGACCCCAGGAGGATCTAGAGAGGATAAAGGAGTCTCTAGATTATTCTATTGTTCCTTCCCTGGGCACATAGTAGAAGTTAACTGGGAGTAGGAGGAAGGGAAGGGCCTGGGGTTGTGGGGCTGGGCCTGTGCCCAGACAGATGGTCTTTCATTGTAGACCTCCCTGCCTCCTTCTGTCTCTCGGCACCCACAATCCCACTCAAGCAACACACTGCCACCCCTGGCTCCCACTGCAGAAGGAATCTGGGAGCTGCCCATCAAACTTCCCATCTTTTGGGGGAGTGACATTTTTATAAATCCTGGTGCTTTCTTGCCTGAGTCCCCATCCAAACCTGTCAGGCATCAGCTCAAGGCTCTCAGGCTCAGCACTGAGAGAAATGAAGCTGGACCCAAACCAAGTGAGCAAATGGCTCGATTTTCATAATAATAAGGGTCCTCTAGCAACCCCAACAGATGCACCGCCTCCCTGGCCAGTCCAGAGCTGCAGAAATGACAGTACCCCTTTCCAAAGCTGTCTTCCAGACAGTGACACACCACCTGCACTGGGCTACAGCAATAACGCAGCCCACACCTCCCTCTAATGGGCAGTGCTCTCTGTGGAGCTTGCTCTCCCTGGCCAGGCTGGCCAAGGGCAGGTGTTCGCTCCGCTTGACAGATGAGGGTGTCCAGTGCTGAGAGGAATGTTGGCACATTGCTCAAGGTCGAACATCAATTGAGAGCACAGCAGAGCAGAGCAGATAACAGCCAGCCCTGCTGCCTCCAGCATCACCCCGGTGGCCTCTCCTCTTCCTCCCTGCCTCCCAGGGCAGTCAGAAGATGTCTGTGGCTGAGGTCAGACACACTCTTTGCTGTAACTGTCATCTAAGCTGGGCTGCCTGCACAGAAGGGCCCCTAGAAAAATCAGGTATCGCAGACTCAACACAGCCTGGATCTCAGCGCTGTGACCTCCATGACAACAAGTCACTCCATATTCCCTGTGGGAGAAAGGGCCTTGCAGGACCATAAAATAAAGTACCAGGAAGTTTCCTGCTGCCAGAGACAGATGTCAGGAGATAAGGGCACAACTTAGGCCTCCAGGGACGAGGGCTCCTTGAGACATCCTTGGACCAGCTCTGGACAGGCAATTTTCTTTTTTATTTTCTTCTCATCATTTGCATCAAGCTGTGCTTTGTGCCAGAGAGGGAAAGGCTGCTAGCATAAAGGCACCATCTGTGCCTGCAAACCCTGGCAGGGCCAGGCCTGGCTGTGGAAGAAAGAGGGCTTCGTGAGGTGATGCAAAAGTGCATCTCCAGGCCCCACTGCTGCCGCCCCTCCCCCCTTCCAGGCCTCTTTGGCAGGAGAGGGTCCCCCACATCCCCCACCCCACAGCTTCCAGAGCAGGCTGCTCCTTCAAGAAGGCAGAGAACAGCTGTGCTCCCTGGGGCTCCTGCTCCAACAGCAGAGATAATGAGGTTACCAGCCCGGAGAGGTGGCCCTGCAGCCGCGGGCCTCTGGCGGCTCGCCCTCACATTCAGAACCTTCCGGTGACAGCTGTGCTTCCCTGGCTGTCGGAGGGCATTTGTCACAAGGTCTGGTGGGCAGGCAGGAGGGCCCCTAGGCAGCTGGCCAGATGCTGCCACAATCAGCCCTGCCCCAGGTTTTTAAGCCATTTTGCAGCTTTGCTGTTTCCTTTCCATTCTTTCTACTTAGAGCAGTTTTTTGTGTTTTGCTTTTTTTTGTTTTGTTTTTTAATTTCTCATCAGCTTCCCTGCTTCAGTTTCTGGCAGACAAAGCTGGTTTCTCCACTGATTCGAAAAGCAGGGTTTTTAAGTGCCTGGAGGCATCCATGTGGTAACACACTGAGCCGGAGGATGGTGGCAGTCCCTTTCACAGACTGCAGACAAGGCCAGCAGAGCACAACTCTAGTCATTGTGGCTCTGTGGGGAGTTTGGGGAGGGGGTGTAATTCTTCCAGGAAGCAGGCGGATGTAGTGTCATGGGATGCTGAGCCTGTACTGCCTACTTTCCATCTGAGGGAGACTTTCCAGTCCAATCTGGCCCCGGCCTCTGCCAAGGACATAAAGCCCCAGATCTAGTCCCTACCTATCACAGATTACGATCCCACAATTCTAGCTTTCACAATTCCTCTGGAAATTTCCTGGCAGAGGTGGAACAGTCACTGTACCATCAGACAAAGGCAATTCCTACCTAAGAACAGACAATACCTACCACTATCTTGAAATCCTGCACTTCTGGGACTCATTTGTTCAGGGGGTGGGTAGCTCAGTGCTTTGCCTTCCCAGGCTTCCGTTTCCCCATCTGTAAGAATGGGGCTTGGAAAAGGGAGAGGACTCACACTTCCATCCTGCCAGTCTGGGTTTTTGGCCAGACAGCCTTTGGTGAGGGGTGAGAGGACTCAGAGGTTCCTACCTTGGGCGTTCACACCACTCAAGTCTGGCTCTCGTGGGGTTGCAAATCCTACAAAGAGCTAATTGTTAAGGGAAACTGGAGGGCTAATAGCATGTACTAACCATTCCCTCTGCCTACCAGCCACCAGTATCCTAAGGACAAAGGGCAGAGGGTGTCTCCTCCCTCTCTGGTCTCTCCATCAGTTCCTAGAGAGGAATAGGCTTCGTTTTGACTTCATTTTCCCTCACAGCCAAGCAGGTCAGGAGAACCATCATCTTTCTCCTAGCTAGGGAGGTCAAGGGGACACAGCGAACTTTTCTGCAGCCATCATAATCCTGGATTAAAGCAATGAGCTCCAGCAACTCTGAGTTTAACTCTTGCATCTAAGGTACATTAACTAGGAAATAGGGAATAGGAGATAGGTCCTTCCACATTCCAGTATGCAGACAATAAAGGGAAAATATATAGTATACAGAACACATTTGGACCTCTTTCCTTAGTATTTGTCTCTTTTCTGCATATTTGAAAGCTATATCTTTATTTATTTATTGTGATTATTAAATAGTTGTATAAAGGGGTTACAATTCCATAAGTCAAGTTATGAGTACAACGTGGAAGCTGTATATTTAAAAGGACAAAGTTGCTGGGTGCTAGTGGCTCGCACCTGTAATTCTAGCTACTCAGGAGGGTGAGATCTGAGGATCGTGGCTCAAAGCCAGCCTGGGCTGGAAAGTCTGTGAGACTCTTATCTCCAATTAACTAACTTCCAGAAAACCAGAAGTGGAGCTGTGGCTCAAAGTAGTAGAGTGCTATCCTTGAGCAGAAAAAGCTTAGGGACAGTGTCCAGGCCCTGAGTTCAAGCCCCATGACTGACAAAAAAATAAAGAGAAAGACAAACAAGAGGATGAAGTCCTACTGTGTGCAGTTTCCTGAGGGAAGGAAGCTGTGCCAGTAGTGGGTCGTGGACTTGGGCTTACTATAGTGCTTCCTTCCTGCACCTTCTTCGCAGACAGTGTCCTGCAGACACTGGCAGGATAAAGCCCAGAGAGGTGCTTCAGAGACAGCTGCCTGAGTTCCAATCCCTGGGTGGTCACTTCCTAGCTGTGTTGTGCTGGCAGGTGACCACTTGAAGATTAAGCCTCAGTTTCTTCACCTGCTAAATAAAGGCTGAGTTGTTAAGGTGAGTGAGACGATACCCTTAAAGGGCTTAGCATAGCATTAGGTACTTTTTTTTTGGGGGGGGGTCCAGTTGTGGGGTCTGAACTCTGGGCCTGCGCGCTGTCCCTCAGCTCTTCAGCTCAAGGCTAGTGCTCTACCACTTGAGCCACAATGCCACTTCTGGCTTTTTTCTTTTTGCTTATGTGGTGCTGAGGAATCGAACCCAGGGCCTCAGGCATGCAGGGCAAGCGCTCTACCACTGAGCCACCTTCCCAGCCCAGCATTAGGTACTTTTTAAGATTCTATACATGCTAGCATTTTAAATTATCATCAGTACTTTTTTTTTAAAACCAGTGCTCTGTACATCATCCTTATCTGTTAGAGCAAAGGAGTTCCTGCACATGAACTACAATCACTCAAATGACTAGACCATTATGTTGTCTGCAAGGAAGGCATGTCTGGAAGTGACAAACCATTCTGTCCAGCTAAAGAAAGCTTGCTAGGCTCTCTGGAAAAGAGATCCTTTTCTAAAGCCTTCATGGAAAAGTCTCCATGGAAAAGATGACTTCCACAGAACAGGGAAGGGAGCAGGCCAGCTGGTAGCAGAGGGGAAACTGATGCCCAGTTGTAAACAGACCCTTCTCTTCCTGAAGAAGGAAGAATGCTCCCTTAGAAAGGGCTGCCAGTAGGCTCTAGCATTTAACACTAGGTCTAGGTTCTTCTGAGGAAAGCAGAACAGCTCTATCTCACCTTCCTAAAGAAGGCTGATCCTTGCTTAATATCAGAGCTCAGTGTGAGATGTACTGGTGATGGGTGGTAGCGGGTATCTAGGTGAGGGTGGCAGAGGCCTGCTCAGCTCTGGAGGAGCAGGAGGAAGACTTTTCTTGGATTTCAGCCTAGTTGGGCCAGGTGAATAGCCTCGGGTAAATTTCCTTTCTTGAGTTCTCTGATTGGGAAAGATTGGATGATGATACGTGGTTTGAACGGGAGTGTGATGGGGATGTGGCATAGGACATCTGAATGTTCCAAGTGGCAATGACTTTGTGTAGGGCTCAGGGTTAGTTTCCTCTTCTCTAAGGCTCAAGACGTTATAAGAGCAAGTGAAGGCTAAATGGGATGTTTTTCCAGGCAAGGTTAACGAGGTTTTCATTGTGGCTGCATAAAGAAAGACTGTAGCAGGGCAGGCTGGGGCAGGTGGGAGCAGCAGGACAAGCAGGGCTCAGCT